TGCAAACTAAAAGCAAAAAAAAAAAAAAAAGAACAATTTTCAAAAGAAATCACGACGGCTTCTCGTTGTACACTAGAGTCCGTGATTAATATTAAGTCATTCAACGCACACTCGTAGTTCTAAGGGTTTTTATAATGGTGCTCTATGGAAGCAATTGTATTATTCGATTGAGATTTCAAAGATTAGCAAAGTTCAGCAAAAAGTTGTTCACTAAAGAATGAGAGAGATTTCCTGTAGAACATCATGATACATACCGAAAATTGTAAATAATAAGAATGAAATTTACGAAAGATTAGGACAGAAAAAGAGAAAGAAGAAAGTTTGTCAGAAGATTGCTAGCGATTCTTTTGGAAATTTCTTTTTTCCTTCTTTTCTTTTTTTTCTTCTTTTTCTGTTATCACTAAAATAAAATAAAGTAGAAAGAAGCAAGAATGCATTACTCATTGCATTAACGATTAGTAGATGTTACGAAAAAAGAATGACATTAAATTAATTATAATAATTAATAATTAATTGTAAGATTATATAAGATCGAACGCATAAAATTGAACACGTCGTTAAGTTAAAAACAATATCTCGTCGCGAATTTCCAAGGGGAAATTTTATCCTATGTTTCATTGTCGTAAAATGTATGAATTCGATCGATACATTATTAATAATCATTTAATCACATTTTTGTAATCGCTCGAGAGGATAAAAATGATTTCTATGGTAAGGAAAGAAAGTAAAACCAAAAGGAAGAGTTTGAATAATAATTAAAGAAGAAACAAAGGTAATACGCGTTGTCAGAACTTCGGAGTATTTAATAAATGCATTTAATGGAACGATGACTGTGTTTGCAAGCTGTGTTCTCAAATGTAAGATGGAACAGTTAATTACTAATAATTAACACGATGATAAACGTGATGAAAATGATTCGACGTGATACGAATAATCGTTGTAAACGTTACTTATCATGTAAACGTTTATTCGAGCCATTTATACCTGGCTACAAATAAGAATCGGTACTTGTAGTGATTTAACGAACATGTCATTACTTTATCGCTTAAGAATTACGTTAATCCGTATATTTTGTAAGCCAAGATTATCAATAGTGATTAATAAACATTACTACGTATTACGATAAATCTCTATTTGTTCAAGTTATGCAGAAATCTACCAATCCTTAGTTCAAACTTGGCCCTAAACTAATACCCAATTATTTAATTTTACATCGTGCACCCGTTAGAAATAAAAAAACGTCAAAAAATGACGTATTTCGTCTGTTCTACGCGCGAATAAGGTTAGTCGTCAAAATTCTGTGTACTATTCAAATGCTATAAAAATTCATTCCATAGTTACTTTGATCATATCATTTTAAATACATCATAAAAGTAAAAGGAACAAATTTATAAACGATGGATAAAATATAGTACATTCGTTTCATAATTGTAATTACATTTAAATAATTATGCATTGTTTACAATTTAATCGAGATTCAATCGTAGTAAGATTTTGCAAATTTCTACTTTCATTTTCATATAAATAAAGATAAAAAAGATAAATGATGGAAAGGATCATATAATTTATTGCATGGACAGAGATAATAAAATTAGATCAATATTTTCCATAAGGATATTTAAAAAAAAAATGTTTAACGTTTATATTTGCGCATCTCCGTCAACGACCGTCCTACTTTTATTGTCTTTGAGTACATGGTTGTGTATATGTCGATGGGGATTTCGATACAATATGAAAGATCATCAAGTAATTATTTCATTTAATTATCACACACAATATTAACATTGTTATATTAAAATAACAATATTATTCTGATATTCATTTAATTATTTATCAGGTCTTGTATTGTTTGATAATGTACTTTTTCATTATCACGCTTCTCAATATGATATTTCTGGGTCATTTGCAATTCAGTTGCGATCATGTGTCATCGGCTAATAATTAATATTAATTTCTATTAATTCGTAAAGATATAAATAATTGTCTTGTAATCGTATCAAATTATAATATACTTAATTTCAACGTGACATATATGAATTCAAATGGTAATTAGAAATATCAATCTTTGACGCATGTGCAGTATTGCACACGTGACGTACTAGAGACCGTTGCAGTCAGATCACGCATGTGCAACAAGTTTTGTTGGACTATTCATTGTGCAGTGTATTGGTGTGTAATACGATCGTAGAGATTATTTAAAAAAGTAAGATTTATTAATCATTTATTAATTATTTCGATCATTTATCTTTTACTTTTCGATCTTTTCTTAAAATAATAAATTATTGTATTTGTCTAATCACATGTCAGGCAGAAATATTATACCTAACCTCAAAATCACATTTGTAATTTATATGTTAATTATATCAACGAAATATTTTAATAAATAAGATAATAATTATATTTTATTAATAGTATTAATAACATATTATCTATGTTTAGATGAATTTGCGAAGACATACACAATTCCTTGCCAGAACAATATTTGTCAAGAACAACGATGTTGAAAAGGCAGCACGTACTATGAATCGTATTCTTAGCAGTGAAGGTATATTTCAACAGTACAGATTAACTAGATACTTTGAGAAACCTACAAATACAAGGCGGAGAGTTAATTTTGAAAGGTGTAAAGCTATATACAATGAGGATATGACCAGAAAAATCAAATTATTAACACGGACGGTCAGAGAAGAAGCTTATCCTGGTTGTTCTTAAAGCTTCTTTTTTTCTTCATAGATACAATTCATAATTTCTATTATTAGAAAAAATTCTGAAAAGAAAATGCTTTCATTTTCTGTTAATATATTGAATAAATATGCTGAGAAAGAAGAAGCTAGCTTATATTATCTATGCGACCAAATCTTTATCATCTTTGTTACTCTTCCTTTTATGGGCTTGAGAAACCTCTATAATATCCTTCCCACAGCTATGATGCCTCTCTGGAGTCAACAGTATATGGTGTTCCAAAGCAGTCACCATTCGTATTACATTTGTAGGATTCAGATTGAGATTGTGAGGTAATGTGATTTTATTCACACTGTACTCCACTGTTAAGGAAAAGTTTGGAAAAGACAAAATTAATCTCTTTTTAAATGTCAAATAAAACTAACATTTGATAATCTATTTTGTTTAATTTAGGAGCAAAATTTATATTAACTCAATGTAATGTATCATTCAATTCTATGAAATCCAATTGATCATCAAAGAATTCATTATTGTAACATATAATTGTTCGAGTTAGATTAACTAGGACGTACAAAATGCATATTTTAACTATAATGTATTGTTTAGCTTCTCTAATATTATTCATGTCAACATGATCATGTTTGGCATTGATCCGTTTCTGTGATTTAGCATATTGATAATATTCCTATAACAAGAGATATTAGTAAATATTGTTCGGTGTGTTTCTGAGTCTAATGTAAATTATTTATGGTATTGATTATCCTATCAATTTATAGGATTTCGAATAATTAGTTTGTTCTTTAATATCATCGTGGCAATGAAACGTAATTTTATAATTTAAATTAGGTTATATTACAGTAAAAAAAAAAAGTAATAAGAGGTAGTAGATTTTTTTTTGATAATCAGAGAAAAGAAAATTATTTTGGAATTTTTATTTATAATATCGATTATTTTAAATTTCAAATTAGACAAATATATTTAAAAAATGATTGAGAAACTATTAAATTATTAAAAACTACTAAAAAGGGGCAAATCTCCTGGTAAAATACAAACATTCGTATTTTAGATACCGAGCATTAGCGTTCTCTCGCGGGAAACTAGATCAACATGTTTGTATCGACGGATCAGAAAAAAAGAAAGAAGAGAATAAGATTTGTAACATGCGCACTATAGTTTTTTTTTATTGTTTTTGAAATTCTATAGATCGTACACCAACATAGAGAAACGTTTTCAATATATAAGACAAATATATTCGGTAAAAAAAAAATAGAAAAAAAAATGTTATAGAAAGACGTAGAGCAGACTTTATCATAGTGATTTTCACATTATTCTTTTTGAATGAAATTACCATGGGGAAAACTTATCTATTCTAATAATCCTGTCGTCTAGGATATTGCCAGACGGTAGATACAGCAAGAGAATTCGTTCTTCTCGGGTTTCTGGATAGGAATGGTTCTACGAGTGAACATCGTCGTCATCCTCGTTGTCTCTCCCTCTTCTTTCCCTCTCTCTCTTTCTCTCTCCCTCTCTTTATCTATCCTTCTTCCTTTTTCTTCCATGAAAAACTTGGCACCACTTCCCATCCGTTCCTACTATCTATTCAATTTTCGCCAAGTTGGCGGAGCCGTTGCCAAGAAAACCAACGGGACGTTTTGTCTTTTCTCACTTTTCGCGGGTCTCCAGCAAGACTACCGGAGAAAGATGAAGGAAGCAGCGTGAAAAAAGATAATTCCGCTCCCGTGGAGTTTCTTTGAGTTACGAGGCGAGATAGCGCCGGCAAAAACCGACTACGAACAATCCAACCTTGGGTTCTTTTACTCGACTAAAAGACTCAGGAAAAGTAAAAAAAAAAAAAAAACAAAAGTAGGTACTTATCAGAGTTGTAATTAAAATCAATTAGGAACTCACTTAGCAAGTCACTTATCGCATTAATTAGTCCCTTAACTGTTAGTCGATTTCTACTAAATTTACTAATTTTACAAAGTAAGTGGATGTTATAATAGATAATGATATGTTTCAAGTTGATTTAATATAATTTATTTATACGAAATATGTTTGGGTATTGTGTTTATGAAGGATCGAATATTTATCGAGTTTTAAGTATTTACAATGAAGCTTTCGAATTTATTTGGTATTATAATTCTATGTTTCAATACCTCTATGAATTTTCATATGTTTCCCTCGAATCGAATAAAATAATATAATATTTAATATTAAATTAATTATAAAACACGTAAGTACAACATCTCGAAATTACGTTTCATTTATCTATCGGTAATATGATAAATAATGATAAATTCACGTTAATATCAAAAACGATCGGAAAGAGATATTAAATTTATGAATATTCTTTTCAATTACGAGCTCTCATTTTTGTCCACTTAATATTTATTTATTTTTTCGTAAATATATGCAAATGATATTTGACCTGTGTCCACCTTTGTGTGTAGGAAAAATTAATTAAGAAGTAAATAAAATACGCCGCCAAATGCTATCGAGCGTTGTAATTAATTTGAAAATAATTTATAAAGTCGAACGTGCTATTAAATTAAAAAAAACATAATCAGTTATTAGTCGATTATACTCTCTAAATTAACTGTATATAATATCGTTTTATTTAATTTCAAAAACATAATACATTTAGTTTTTGGACACGTGCACAGGTATATACGTCGCGACGTATCAATTGTATTTGACGATTACATCGACTTAGCCAATAATATTTGTTGATGTTACTTTTCGACGGGATACTCGGGAGTAAAATTTATCAAGGGTTTATCCCGCTACTTGACCTACGTCGAGCAAACATATTTGTACGATTTATCTTTTCGTTTACTATACGCGAAACAAACATTGCAATTTGTTACCTCTCATATCGTCGCCGTGTAAAACACGATTTTTCCTATTTTTAGTTTTATTTCCCTTTATTTCCGCGTTCTTTTTCTCTTCGTTATTAAAATACGTAAATATGCATACGTATATACATATAATGTAACAAAATAATTTCGAAAATAATAAAATTATCTATGAGAAAATTAAAATAAATGAATTTAAATCTGTGATACAAATAACGAATGCATTATATTAATATAAAAGATTCTAATCTTGTAATACAAATAAAAGGAGTGTCCAAACTTTTGTAATTTCGGTATGACTCAATTAAAGGGATGTTAATTATCAAATTGAAGTAGAAAACTTGAGATACGTTAATGCGATGTCAAAGAGAAGATGGACTTAAAGACGAAAAGCCAATGAGAGTTAAGACGAGAAAACAGAAAGAGAGAGAGCAAGAGAAAGAGAGAGATTGTATACCCTTAGGGGATGAAAGATAGACTAAATGAGAGAGATAGAGATAGAGACAGAAATCTAGTTCTAGTAAAGTCTAGTCTTGCGAGTAGTTCGAAGGTGGTTTCGAATCCAAATTCTCAAGAGTTAAGCCAAACCGTCTTCTCAACCGGAACGTACTCTCGTTCTCTTCGCAGAGTCTGTTCTTCGGCAAGTCTGAAATGAGATCTGCCAGCTCGTACTGTCCTTGATTCTCGCATGCAAACGATCATGAATGCTCACTCAATATCCACCAAGTTGCGAACCTCTTCGATAATCCTCTCGAATCAGTCAACAAACGTGCGAGCGAGTCGAGCTACGTATGTAAGAATGAGGAGAGGGTTGAAGATTCAAGAGGGGAGCTAAAGTAGGATAGGATAAATCACGCGTTTCCGAGTTCCCTCCGCGATTTTCTCACCATTTTCCGGCTATTTTTTACCACGCTTACACTTTACATCAGTTATTCTATAGAAATATACGAGGAAGATGTTATCTACAAAATTGGAATAGGAAATTCAATTCTTCTGTTTTCTTCGTGATAACATTTAGAAATGATATATGTGATATCTTTCGACAAGGCTCGTCGATAAGAAAATTATCCTGCGATTATTTTATCGTTTTTTTTTTATTGATTTTGTTCTATTTTCTCTCTCTAGCATCTAGGATTTTTCTGTTATTTTTAAATTAATTTGATTTTCAACATCGTAGAAAGATCCGACCTATGAAAGAACAACAATAAAAGATTTCTAAGAATCGGTATAATCGAAATATGAAAAATTCAATAGTAGCACAAGTCTCGGGAGACATTCGAAGAAAGTTTGAAAATAATTGTTTTATTTGTTAAAAGAGTTTCCTAGCAATGTCGATTAATAATTATTATCCACACGTGAACAAGAGAACTTGTATGGTGTTTGTTTTTTCTACATTTTAAATTAAGATGATATTTTCTTACAAAAAACGCGATAGTTTATCCATAACAGAATATGTATAACAAAGAATAACAATCCGGAAAACAAGACAACATCTTTCAGTTTGTTCTTTTTCATCGGCGTTTACATTAAAAATACAATGTGCTAATTGAATCATAACGTACTCTCTCATATAGATAGAAGTTATTTTTCTTTTCTAAAGCATTTATCCCATCGCGTAATAGCTATTCTCTAGTGTCCGCGAACGCATTGCTCGATATTGCGCGAGTTTATTTGTTCTTTGCGTTTTGTGATTTATTTCCGGTCTCGAAAAGCGTATACCGAAGTTAACCGAAGAAGGAAAACGATACTGCAATGCGGTGGTTAGTAATGCCAAATTTAAGTGGAATGTTAGCATGATACACACATGGACCAGAAACGTATGGGAAGATAGAACAGAACGGTCTTTATCATTTTCCACCAAGCTAAATGCATTTACCACGCTCGAACGATTTTTTTATACGCTCTCTCTCTCCTTGACTCCTCGTACCTTCAGTTTTCCACTTGATTTGATACACTAAATCCAAATAAATAATTTATTACATTATCACCTTTTCTTTTCTTTTCTTTTCATTTGTTATTTTTTTTTTTTTTACTTTTATTTGTGCATTATTATTCGTATTAAAGAATTACATTAGTTTCTATAAATATAATGATGATGTTTAGAAGAAAAATAATTAGTCAGAATAATTATCAATCAAAACTACTCGTTTACGGCTGACTTCTACTGATTAATTCAACTCACGGTCGTGCAACCCGTGCTTCTACCTATTGAAACGGAATGAGCTTGAATGAAAAGGAAAGCGTCAAGTAACATCGAATCTCGTGAGAATGTTGGAAAGTCGAGCGGAATGCAAATGTCGATCTTCGTTTCGCACACAGGATCCCTTTGTCCTTGATAGAAGCGTGTCGAGCTGGTGGAGGAGCACGTCGTAAAACGAGATTATTTGAGCCTAGCTAGACGAGACGATCGATGGAATGGATAGTAAAGTCTCTTCTATATGTTACCTACAAAAGCTAGAACTGCCCCCTCCTGCATATTGCAGTAGAAGCCTCAAAATTACTT